TTAAGGATGAGTGACAACAGTCACATCAAGATGAAAACTAAGTGGCCTCAGGAGACAGCCAACATCACAGCCCCAGAGGGGAAGACATATTGAAGCCTTCAGCCTAAGTCAACCTGCCTCAACTGGCAAATGAAACAGAAACAAGTCGTCACCACTCTTCCCTGACCCAATTTCTAGCCCACAGAATTGTACACAAACAAATAAGCACCTTGAGGTGACCTGTTGTGCTGCAGCAGATGACTATGCCAAAGAAAAGGTACATATTTGAAAAGGGCAGAGATGTAGACAAAAGCTGATAGGGCAACAAAGGGACTTGAAAACTGAAAGAGCAGTTAAGATATTGCTACAGGAGGCTTGGAGAAGGGTAACTCATTATATACAGGCAGAATTATTAGCATACTTGAAGTCACATGAAGTAACTTGAAAAATTAAAAGTATACCTAGTGAAACTGTACATCAAGCCAAGAAGATTTCCAGGCAAGGTATTCAAGGTGCAAATGGCTTCTTTATAGCCAAGTATGAGAGGTATAAGACGGAAAACATGAGCTAAACAGTTACAAGAACATTTTTTTTAATATGACTGCCCCCTGAACATCATGGATCTAAACTACACAGGTCCACACATACATGAATTTTCTCCAATAAATATGTACAATACTGTAAATGTAAATATATTTTCTTTTATATAATTTCTTTAGGTAACATTTTCTTTTCTCTAGTTTACTTTAATGGAAGAATACAGTATAGAGTACATGTAACAGGCAAAATATGTGTTTATCAACTGTTAATGCCAGTAATATTCAACCAGTGTGCTGCAAGAATTTTTACAACATGCAAGACCTGACTATTTAGTCAGGGGCACTGATCTCTTTTCCCTTACATTGTCAATAAAAGATAAGAGTCAACACAACAAAAGCCGTCCAATGCAAATGAATCAAAATTATATCTATGTTTTCAGTCAGGCTGGCAAAAAATATATATTTTTGGTACGCTGCAGAATTTTAGTGACTATTTTATGTGTGTCATGAAATGAAAAAAGGTTGAAAATCATGTCTATTTTATTGGTAAGGTTTGTGATCAACAGTGGCTATAAGATGTTAAGTCTGGGAGCATCAAAAGTTACGTGAGGATTTTCTCTTGCACAGGGTGGGCATCCCCAAATCCCAGGTTGTTATCTCTAACTTGGAGGTACATGATCGGAAAATAACTGTTTCTCAAAACTAGTCTTCACACACAGCAAAATACTGTCCAAGAAACAGCACGAGGACAAAGATCAAATCCAGAGTGCTGACAATAAAACATGGACTCATGTTAAGACCTCAAAGATTTAAGGCAGTGCTGGCATTCTATCTCAGGTGGGCAAACGGGCTCCTAAGAAACTTAGAGGACCCTGACTTGGGATCCAAAGTAGAGAGAGTCCTGTCTCAGAAAGAAATGTGAATGTGACTTTTGTCTAATACAGTGATTTTCAACCTTTTTCATCTCATCTCATGGCACATATAAACTAATAATAAAATTCCGCAGCACACCCAAACACATGTTCTGCCGATGTGACAAAAAAATGGGTACGATTTTTAAAAGATTTTATTTATTCACTTTTAGAGAAGGGGGAAAGGAGGGAGAAAGAGAGGGAGAGAAACATCAATCGGTTGTGTCTCATACGCACCCTGACTGGGGACTGAACTCACAACCCAGGCATGTGCGCCCTGATCGGGAACTGAACTGGTGACACTTCGCTTTGCAGAATGATGCGCAACCAACTGAACCATACTGGTCAGGACAAAATAAATATAATTTTGATTCATTCACACACAGCTGTTGTGTCGGCTGTTGTCATTTTTTATGTGATAATCTAAGGAAAAAGAGGTCGGTACCCTTAATTAAATAGTCAGGTATGTTTTAAAAACTCTTGTGACACACCAGTTGAAAACTGCTGATCTAACAGAATGTGCACTTACAATCTGATATACAGAAAAACCACAAAGTGTTCGATGGAGTTCTATTAGTTTGGGGGGGGGGGTGTTTCAAATGAAAAGAGGCCTTTGGGCTCTTAAACTAACGCATACATGTCGCAGGCTAAAACTGCTACTCAGGTGTAAACAAGACCCATTTCAGGGAGCAGAGCCAGAGCCCAAAGGACCAAGCACAAGCTGAAAAAAATAATGAATTATAAAGCTACTACCAGAAGATAGAACTAAACCATAATCAAGGATATTCCCTGTTCCCTGGTTAGACTTCAGAATTGCTTTGGACCAAATACTGTTACACACTTTCCATTCTTTCACTCTCCAAAGGGAGTATGTACTGAGGTCACCTGCCCCTGCCTCGAATTATGTATTGAGTATAAGGGGAGCAGGCTGTAACTTGTCTTCTTAGCTACCAGGTATCCAAATCCAGAGGACCTTACCCAGGGGATCCTGTCCATCTTTCAATCTAATGCAGATCATAAGATAATGGACTTTGAACCTGAGATCATTATTGCATGAGATTTCTAAGCATCTTAGGAATGTGTACTGCGTGTTGGAGAGATGTGAATTGTCCACCAGGGGAAGAACTGAAAGTCCATCTGCAAAGATGGCTGCAAACAACTCCTGCTATTTCTCTACACACACATGCTACTCCACCCCCGCCCCATCAAGAAGTGGAATCTGTTTCTCCTTCACTTAAACCTTGGCTGACACTGTGTCCTGCTTTGAAAAACAGAATGCAGTAAAAACGACGCCACACGGTTTTAACCTAGGCCTTTAATGGATCAAGAAAATTCTGTTTTATTCTCTTGCTACCCTGAATCACCAAGTAAGGAAATCTAGGCTACCTTTCTAGAGAAAGACCAAGAAGACAAAAAAAGGCAGGTCTGAAGAACAATCCACCTAAAGAACTAATGCGGTGTCTCAACTAAAAGCAGCACTAAGGCTCTCTTGGATTTTTTAGCCCATTTGAGCTACCTCAGTCAACATCTTATGGCAAGGCATTCCCTGAAAAAACTCCAGACCCCAAAATTGTGAACAGCAAAATAGTTGTGATTTTAAGCCACTAAGTTTTGGAGCAATTTGTTACTCAATAATGGGCAGATGATACAGGTAGTGAGTGGAGCAAAGGCTACAAAAGTAAAGCACTGGGTACTTTCTAAGAGTCAATATTAGAGACCCTAATGCAATCTGCGAGAGGGAAGGTTTGCTTAAGAAGTGATATACTTAAAAGTGGTCATTTAATACCATTTAATAGAGGAGAAATTATCAATTGGAATTTTTTTGTTGGTTTTAAGTTTCTATTTTTCTAAATTTTTCACAATGTACTTGTTTTACTCTTGAAATAATAATAAAAATGTTATTTTGTTAAAACTTCCTTAAGGATTTTCATGGCAGCTTATTGGTTCTATTATACTGAAACCTATTAAGTCTAAAATATTTATTTTCTAATGACAAAATATGCAAACATTTCAGCAAATAACAAAAGTTTTCTATTATCCTATGTGGTTGAAGAATAAAGTGTTTAAATTTAACAATCCAAAAAATAAACATCCTATATTGCTTTCTGAAGAATTAGAATATATTAAAACACAATTAACTTAAAATGATACTGCTTATAATTTAGTATCACACTGATTCTTAGAAAGTTCTCCAGATTTAGGTAGTTCCTCATAGTTATCACTGTGAACAGATATCAATAACATAAAACTGAGAGAAGTAAATAATACTCTGATAACAGAATTAAGAGTGGAAATGATCCAAAAAGACTGCAATAATGTACTAAAACTAACAAGACAAAATTACAGAGAAGTATAAGTGTAGGGTTAAAAAGAAATCAACCACAAATGTACAAGAGGATAAAATAATCTGGCTTAACAACATGAAGAAGCCTTAGGTTTCAGCTGACCACAGTACATTTGCCACAAGAACACAAAAAAAGGTTAATGTAATCTCAAACAAATATTGACCAAGAACCTAAAATGCACCACGTACTTTACTGAGAATACAGTAATGAGATAGATCCACAGAAGGAATAATCTCATCACACTACATATGGAACATTAAGTCCATATAAAGGAAATGTTTGAAAAAATGAGAGAAATGTAACCTATGAACAGAAAACTTTCTAATTTGAATACTGATTTAAAAGGAAGCTCTTAAAGCAGTTCTTTCATTGTACCAAAGTAAATGAGTAACTACTATGTGACTGGCATTGTGCTAGGCACTCAGGTATAAGTGGAGAAAACAGATATTGTCCCTGACCTCCTTCTGCTTATAGTCAAGTCTACTGAGTACCCTATCGTGGGGAGACCTTAAGTAGATACCAAATAATAACCTGTGAAGCCTATTATGAAAGAGATTCCTGTACTTTGTGTAAGGCTGAAATAAATGGCCTCCAATATTGTTCCCAAATCTAAAATTTTACTAACTTATGGCACCACACCATGAAAAAATATAACTATTTTAAGATAAACAAATGTCTAGTGAGTAAAATAGCAGGCAATCCAATACCACATACACACACATGAAGCTTTTTAATATTTACCCCTAATAAAACAACCTGTTCAAGTCATATGCTCAGCTTTCACAGACAAACTATTCAAAACCAACCTCAGCCCTGGCTGGTGTAGCTCAGTGGATTGAGCACATGCCTGAGAACCAAAGGATTGTGGTTCGATTCCCAGGCAGGGCACACGCCTGGGTTGCAGTCTAGTTCCCAGCAGGGGACGCATGAGAAGCAACCACACATTGACCTTTCTCTCCTTCTCTCCTACCCTTCCCCTCTAAAGATAAATATAATTTTTAAAAAAACAACTTCAATCCACATTAAGAAAATTCAACCTCAAATTTTTCTTTCATTTCAAATAAAAAGTATTTTCCAGAACTATGAGAAAATAAATTTGTATTGTTTTAAGCCAAAAAAATTGTTTTAATCTCCTTACCCTAATGATTATCTTACCCTAGTTAAAATAACTACAAAGAAATTAATATTTATGATTTCTCTGAGAATTCTTATATTAATCAATATACCTTTCCATGGCTTTAGCTGTATAAGGCAAATGCATTTCAATACTGTGTTCATCTTCATCTGTCTGCAGAGACATGCGTTCAAACATTCCTGTCTTCCATAGTTCTCCGTAAACTAAAGAAATTTCAAAATATGATAAAACAAATATATTAATGTATATCCTCATCCTGTGAAACTCCACCCAATAACACAAAACTGTATGTTTAGCAAAAGACAAAAGCACCACATAATATTCTCCTTCATTCTTTTCCTCCATTTTTACTTTTACAATAGAAAAAAACTAGCTTTTTACATACCAGGCAAAACAATAATACACGTAAATAATTTACTCAAGATTTGTATGTTCATGGTTATGTAGGTAATAATTTAAATTTTTCATCAGCTTCCTTTATTGTATCAAAAATCCCCTCCAGGTCTAAGCCCTTCCTTAACTTTAGCCAGTAAACACTGCCAAGGGCACAGCTGGTTATGACTCCTCCTGAGACACAGGGAAACCGCTGGCCTACATACTCATGAAGTTAATAATACAGTTTCTGATTTGTTTTGTTTGTTAATAAAATGTATAAGTTATTATTTCACACTTCAGGTTCTGGCTACAGTAAGAACAGAAAATGTCCACTAAGAATGCTACGTCATTCAAAATTAAAAAATAAATAAATAAAACATGTGGGATACACCAGAACATAAATTCACAACAGTACCATGACATAAATAAGGTTAAAATAATCCTGTAATTCAGACCCTCATGATAAATTACACTTCAAACTGAATACTGTACAGCAAGAAAATGATGAAATTCAATATGTAAAAAGGTAGTATGAGTGTGTCTGTCTTACCACAGACTGGACAAACATTCTTATAACTACAGCAAAGAAACAGGGTCACCAATATATAAAATCAAAAACTACAAATGGTGCTGACTTTTTTTCAACAAAAATATACCTGATTTTAAAAATCTTCCATTCCTTCTCTGGCAGGCTATCCAATAAAGTTTGTCTCCCAAAACAATCCAGGGTGTAAGGCTAGTAATATTCCAGCTCCATTAATAATATATATTGTAATAAATTGCTAATGCTCCATGATACATAAAACCCCAAATTATATAAATTTAGGCCTAAAAAATATGGAAAAATGAGGTAACATTTCCTGTGTAAATGACCTCTTTCACTCTACAGAAGTATGTTTAGCAAAATTTCTTGGAACAATAAGCATTCAACATACTTAAAATACAAATTAATGAACTAAAAGGATACACACCAAATCCGTGAAGGCAGTTACTGGTGGGGATGTATACTGAGTTCAGATGAGGGGTAAATTTCTGAGTCAATTATGGATGATGAGTACATGAATATTTTAAAACTATTTTCTGTACTACTCTGTGGTTTTTAAATTATGCTCTACCATTCCTCCAAAAATACTATTCAAAGTCAAAAAGTCTGACCTTACACATTCAATATATAAAATGATACCAAATTAAGTTAAAAAATGTGATTTCTGGGCCTGGCTGGTGTAGCTCAGTGGATTGAGCGCGGGCCCAGGAACCAAACAACCACGGCTTGATTCCCAGTCAGGACACACCCTGGGTTGCAGGCCAGTTCCCAGCAGGGGACACACAAGAGGCAATCATACACTGATATTTCTTTCCCTCTCTCCTTCCCTTCCCCTCTGAAGATAAATAGATAAAATCTTTTTAAAAATGTGATTTCTGAAAGCATATGGAAAGAATAAATCAAAATAACAGACATTTAAGAAATACATACATTTTATGTAGCACCTTTCTTTCGAGAGTCTCCTAAGTACAGTCTCATTTTTTCCCATAAAAATCATTTGAGAGGAAATCAAGGTTTATCACCATTATCTACTTACAGTGAGAAAAGTGCTACACAGAGTTGACTAACATGCCCAGAATCCTGCACCACGTTGTGACGGCACTAATTTCATGTCTCACAGCACGGTGAGTTCTTCCCTGAGTGTACATGCAACCACTACGGTCTGGAGACTAGCTGATGTGCAGCTGGCAGAAAAACTATGGTTGTCTTTCAGGTACACAAAAAAATTGCCTTTCTTTTTCTTTTTATTAATTCCTATTGGTATTCTATTACAGTAGAAACAAATTTTATTTCTTAAAACTGAGATATTACTTTTGATACTCATATATTTAATTTTTTAAATTAACTTAGAATTCCTATTTAAAACCATTAGCTGTTTACAAGCTATATGATTTCTAGCCCTGACTGGTGTGGCTCAGTTGGATGGGCTTTGTCCCATAAGGCGAACTGTCACCAGTTTGTTTCCCAGTCAGGGCACATGCCTGGGTTGTGGCCAGTCATGTGTGATAGGCAATCAATCAATGTTTATCTCATACATGGATGCTTCTCTCCCTTTCTTTCTCCCTTCCCATCGTCTCTCTAAAACTAACTAAATAACACCTCTAAGAAATCAACATGAAATGAAAGCTGTACGGTTTCTGCATACTTACTCTTTTGGTCAATACGAAGGTCGTACAGAGGTGTCCTATATATGTCCACACTGGAAAGTGCACATCGAGAGAGGGGCACATGATGAGAAGGCCCAAGGATGAAAATCCTCCGGCTAGGAGACACACAACAAAAACAAGAACGGTTGCACTTCTACATAAACCGTATTAAATAAAAGAAAAAATAAGTAAATTTTTAAAATTACATGTAAAACTTTCCATTGACTGATTTCACTGCCTACTGTTATGTGCTAAATGGTGTTCCCCTAAAATTCACATGTTGAAGTCTCACCCCCCAGTGCCTCAGAATGGAACCATAGTTGAAGAGAAGGTCTTTCAAGAGGTGGTGAAGTTAAAAAGAGGCCATTAGGGTAAGCCTGGTGTCATGTAGGAAGAGGCAGAGACACCAGGGGTGCACATGCACAGAGAGGTGACCACGTGAAAGGGCATCAAGAGGATGCCCATCTGCAAGCCAGGGATACAGGCCTCAGGAGAAACCAACCCTGCCAGCACCTCAGTCTCGCATTCCAGACTTCAGAACTGTGAGAAAATCAATTTCTGTTGTTTTAACTGCCCAGTTTGTGCTATTTTGTTACGGCAGCCCTAGCAAACTAATACACTACTAAGTGATTTTCTCCTCAGTTAATTAAGTTCATTTCTTTATCTCTTTTTATTGGAAGGCCTTTAAAAGAACCATGTTCAACACCTACAAATACCAATTACTGATCATCTACAGTAAACTAATCTGCTATGCTTAAAATTGTCTCTGTATTCACAATGGCTGTAGAGTTTTCAGTAACTATAGTAATTAAATTTTAAACATTTCAGCCATTAAATAAAGTCTCAAAAGTCTAACATATTCTAAACTTGCCTTCTAAGGTCTACCACAACTTTAATAAAAATCCATGCAAAATATCATTACAAAGACATATTCTGATAAAGCTACTTTCATAGAGGAAAAAAGGCATCTTGTTGAGAATTCTGTGTAATAAGCTTTCTCTGTTCCCAAATAAAAGTCATTCTCAAAAACAATGAGAGAGGCTTAATTGTGTTATTTTATACCATAGATTAAAGAAAAGAACTGGGCTAAACAGCAGCTTAAGTCATTACAATAATTTTATCTTGACATCAAGAATAAAATTAGCCTTGGCTGGTGTGGCTCAGTAGATATGAGCATCAGTCTGTGAACCAAAAGGTCACTGATTCAATTCCTGGTCATGACATATGCCTGGGTTGCAGGACAGGTCCCCAGATGGGGGTATGCAAAAGGCAACCAGTTGATGTTTCTCTTCCTCCTTTTCTCCTTCCCTCTCCTCTCTCTCTAAAAATAAGTACTTAGAATATTTTTTTTAAAAGAGTAAAATTAACTTTCATTTTATTTCAAACATCCCTACAATCTAAATTCTAAAACTGTCCATATTCTCTCTTCTGCCAGGTGCATAGGAACAAAATTTATACACACCACATTCACACACAAATTTACAGACCCAAAATACCAAAATCCTGAGAGAGAAGGGAACATACAATTGGCTATGTACCTAGAAAATTAGGGACTACTCATTGTTCAATTAATGGACAAGACTGATACATGAGCTAGTTCTTTCATATCAAAAATTTGTAGTACAAAGAATGTGTGCTTTAGCAATATATTTATTTTGATAAAATTCTGTAACAGCTAAAAAATTAACCTATTTGTCTGTTGTATGTTACTTGCTCTTTGGAGCAAAGGAGTGGAGGATAAGAAAGATGGACAAGGAAAAGGAAAAAGAAATACCCAGTTCAGAGTCCCACCTCCTCAAGATGTCACTCATGGCAAACATACAAGACTGCATCCACAGGCTATTTCCAGTCAGCAACATATCTCTTTTCCTGCCCCACCCCCACTAATGACACTAACTTCTCGTCATCACCATTATAACTCAATAACCATTTTGGAAAGGAAAGATCAAATCCAGATTCCTAATGCTAGAGACACCACTATATTCTCCTATCTTAACAGCCCATAAACATCAACACAACTTTTTAAATTAACATCTAATGTGGGATATACATAAAGTGACTTGCCTAAGGACAAGTATTTATATGAACAAGAATCAAGTATGAAAAAGGCATTTTTGTTTCAAGAGCATATTTCTGTGAAAAGAGAGAGGAGATGGATAGAATATTTAAAATCAGAACATTCCTAGGAAAGCCAGGATAATTAAAATATGAATAGGCTTTTAAAATACCAATCTAAACTCAAGGTATAGATACTTTCACAGGTAAGTGTAACAAGGCTCTCACAGTGGCCCAAAGATGAACACTAAACTAATCCAGAAACAAAGACCCCAGGCCAGCTTCAAAAGCCTACCTGCTTCCTCTAGTAGTGACTATTTACCTTGCTTTTTGACAGACCCTTGACAGACCCGAGCTAGCTGAAAAGATGAAGACTGCTGGGGAAAAGAGCTTCCTACAGCCTGAATTATCTAAGTGATAATTCGCCCAATGGATTCCTTCTAGGTTGGCAGAAATTCACCCAAAGGCAATACATTTGGTTAAGAGAAATAATAGGAAAAAAGAGGCTTAGGTCCCACCAACATAAAACCCTTAAAAGTGATAACCCAAAAACAAACCAGGAAAGGATAGGTATCACTGAAGAAGAAAAAGTGCATATTATACCAGAAGTAATCGTAAAATGGGTCTCTGTTAGCCCAATACTAACAAAAAAAAATGTTAACAGTGTAAATAAAAGATAATGCATTTTCTTTTTTTGCTAGATTACTAGATTGATAAACACCAAAGCCATAGAAATATTATGGAGACAAATAAGTAATAAGCACATTAAAAGCAATGCCACTTTCTCTTCACTTAATAAACTGCAAGGTGCTTTGTCTTTAAAGAAATGACTTTTTAGCCCTGGTTAAAGTAGATTGAGTGCCAGCCTGCGAACCAAAGGGTTGCTGGTTCAATTCCCAGTCAGGGCACATGGCTGGGTTGTGGGCCAGGTCCCCAGCAGGGGGCGTGTGAGAGGCAACCACACACTGATGTTTCTCTCCTACTCTTTTTCTCTCCCTCTAAAAATAAATAAAATCTTTTTTAAAAGACTTTTAAATATTAACATGTCCTCACTGTTGCCACACATGTAAGAGAAGCTTTAATATGAAAAAAATGGGGAAAAATCAGTAGGCATTCTCTTAGAAATAAATGTAGTTCACATATAATACCTCCAGAGAATTCGTATTTGTGGATTTACTTACTATGAGTGTCATCTGTACACTCAATATGTAAGTCACCTGAGTGTCTGCCTCCATTAATACTCAACTATTTATAATATAACACAAGTAATTTTTAAAAGTGTTTCATGGCAAGTGTAGATATTTTAACGAAAGCATAAAACGTTAAATGAGATTCCTTCCTGGGTGGGGGAGTGGAAATGGAAGAGAGATGGGGAGGTCTGGGGGGATGGGCGGGGGGGGGGCTAAGGGGACGGGTTGAGGGAAAAGGCAGAAAACTGTACTTGAACAACAATTAAAATTAAAAAAAGAAGAAAAGACTCCTTCCTTTTTACCCTCTTCTTTGCCATGCAAGACTTTCTGAAAGATATGAATTAAGTTACTATCTAAGTATATCCTGGGTGTATTTTTAATTACAGTTTTAGGAAATTACAGTAATAGGAAAAGACTTTGCAACTATAAATATGAGCAAGAACTTAACTAAATGTATCCCTTTTAAAATTTCTTAAACAGCCAGCCAGAGTGCTATTTTTGAAACACAAATTGGATCCCATCACTCTCCTGCTTTTAAAATGTCTTTCAATGGCTTTCCACGGTGACAGGATAAAATCCAAAATTCTTAAAACGGGTTCTAAAGTCTCAAATAAACTGGCCTCTTTTTGTAGTACTCTTCCCCTTGAACACAGAACTTCCTGTACACTGGTCTTCTTGCGGTTCCTTGATAACACAGACAACTTTGCCTACTTCAAAGCCTCCACACATTCCTTTTGCTTGGCTTAAAAATCATTTCCTCAGAGATGCCTTCCCCAAGATCTTACCCACAAACCTCACCACGGTCTAAAGCCAATCATTCACCTGTATCACAGCAGTTCTCCAAGTGTGAACTGTGAATTCAAGGACCTTTCAAGGGGTTTACAAAATCAAAGCTATTTCCATAACAATAAAGAAGTTATGTGCTTTTTTTCACTGTGATGACATCTGCACTTACAATACAAAGTGAGGCTGGGTACACCGCTGGCACATTGGAACTACAATCAAGGTAACGGAACCAAAAAGTATTCTTCACCTTCACCCACACCCGGTTCTTTTTTTAAGGCCAGTTTCTCTTGAATACAATTTTATAGAATTATTTTGTATGACAAAATGCATCCAATTTGTGGTGATAAATGCATAAAACACTTCTGCACATAGGAATCCGTCTTATGGAAAAGTATTAATGTGACTAGGATTTGTGAGTGAAACCAGGCCTTTTTTCATGGAACACAATTTTTATGTCAAAAACTGACTGTAGAGAAAGTACAGGTATCCAATTTAGGTACCATATTTTACCATTTATAATGTGCGCTTTTTTGCACAAATTTTTTAGGGGAAAATAAGGATGCGCATTATACATGGGTAGTGCTTATTTGTTACAGGCACATAAAATTTCTTTGTGCCTTGTATCTGTTCTTGTGCTTTGTAAGTATTTGTTACATGAAATTTCTTGTACCATAATATGTTCAAAAATAAATACCAAAAATTATTTATAGTATTCAAAAAAACAAGTATAAATAAATAAATGAGTTTAAAAATTAAAACAAAAGATTTTTTTTGTGAAAGTTTGGGCCAAAAACTGGTATACATGGATACACAGAGTGCACTATGCATGGAAAACTACAGCAGTCGGCAGAAATTTTCTAACGAGATGAACAAAGTGAGCCTGCCACTTCAAAGAAAACATCTGATGTATTTATTGCCAGTGATAAAATTGAGGCTTTTAAGTGAAAACTAGACTTTTGCAAAACTTCCATTCCTATGAGACTGACAGCTTCCCAATTCTTAAAGATTTTTCCAATGAAATTGGTGCTGATATTAACATGTGATTTCCTGACACTGTATATCAACATTTAAAAGATTTACATGATTCAATAAATGAATACTTTCTAAATGTTCCTTGCAAGATGCTAAAGTAATCATACAAAGTTAGAAGATCCCTTCAAAGGTCAAGAAGAGTACAAAAGATGATCCTGGTTGACAGGGAGAAAAGGGATTAGTGTGAACAGTAATAATGAAAGCTAATGGTATAGAATTTAACCTTCTCTCCTGGACTGTTCTTTATTATTTCTCTTTACTTCTCATAGTTCCCAAAAGGATGCCCTTTGTCTGTTTTATCAAAAGACTCTAAAGACATAGCAAATTTCAGAGGGAGACACTTTTAAGAGAACACAAATACGACTGTGAATTACTATTTTTAACACTCAGACCTTCAAATTAATTTATTCTGTATTCAATTATTATATGCTAGTTGCCAAAAATAAGCTGACTACATCATCTTTCATCCTCTCTTTTTACTAATCTCCTCTGTCATATTCTTAGTCCTTGGTTTCCTTCCCTTTTTATTCTTTATCTTTTTCCTTCAAGTCTCATTTTCCATTGACTTAATTAACACAAGCTGTCCATATCTACCAATATTGTCTCTGTGTCTCTCTATGAATTCTCTGATTTGGAGGTGCCCTTCCAGCACATACCGTCATCAATAAAGATTCTGTCAAATAAAAAAAATTTGGAAAAGCCTGCTACATGTACTAACCTTGATGATAGCTGGTTTATAGGTCCAGGTTCAAAAAATGAAAATTTCTGAAAATATTTCCAATCTAATTTCTATTCGTTCTTATTCATGATATAATTTAGTTAAAATTATATAGTAAACATGTATCAAGATTTATTAAAGACACCCCTCAAAACATCAAAAATGGGGTAGGGCTAACCAAATCCTCATCAATTTGCCAACATTATTATTTGGTTTATTATTTAAATTTTTCTAAAAATAATTTTCAAAAAAAGATAGGTACAATGTCCAGAGCACACTACATAAAAACAAAAGAGGGCAGGGTTTTTTTGTTTTTTTTTTAAATTTGAACAAATTGCTCAAAGGAAGAAGAGTAGGCCGTGGGTAAGATTTTCTTTTTAAACGTATGGCTGCTCTGAGTCACTTCTTTGGAATGAGTATGCTTCATCTCTACCAGTACAAATGCACTACGATCATTAGAACTATTACTAACACTCAATACTAAACAGAATTAAGGTCCATGATTTTATCCATTCGCAGTATGTATACAACTAGCAATCCAAACTGGACCTTTATACTTGTTGGCATGTAGTAAATTAACTAAATAAAATGCTGGTGAGAAAATGAAGTAATTTGGATGGCTATTACCAGCAGAAATTTTTGAAAGTTCACATGTTTCTTATTTAAGAGAGTAATATACTAAGTTTTTAAAAGTTCACAAGTTTCTCATTTGAGACAGTAGTATACTACTCAGTCTCAATTTGCCAGAAAGGTCTTTTATAAAGCTAATTTCAGAGTTGTCATTAAATTATTAAACATTTATATGCTTTAAACACCATGAGATATACTGTAAGATTCTAAAATAATTCAAGTAACTTATCCTGTCAATGAGAAATTCTTCTTCTCTCATTAACTAAACTTAACAAGTACAATAAAGAATTTTAAATTAGAAAGCGATTAAAATAGAAAATGCTCACCTCCAGATTTTCCAAGAAAAATTTTAAACCAAAATATTTTAACTGTCAGTGTTCCTGGACCCAATTCTAGTATGGGGGATGGAGCACAGAGGGGGAAAGTTCTCCACATCTCCAATAAGCAATTCTTAGACTCTGCCTGGAAATAGCATTGGATTCCATAGGTATGGGTTCAGTCCCACAAGACTGCCCCCAGAACCCCCATTTCAGACGCCAGTTGGAAGCCCAGGTTGTAACATGTACTTCTGACTGACTGACTATAAATCAGAAGTTCCCATGATCCTCTCTTTGGGTTTAATTAATTTCCTAGAGCAGCTCACAGAACTCAGAGAAACATTTTACTTACAAGATTACTGGCTTATTACAAAAGAATATAACTCAGGAAAAAACAGAAGAAATGCACAGGGCAAGCCATGGGGAAAGAGAGTGTGACTTCCACTCCCACTGCAGGGGGCCGCTCCCCCTTAGATCAACCCAGAAGTTCTCTGAAGCTTTCCTTTTGTGTTTGGAAGGCAGCTATGCTCATCACTACACCACCAACACCAAGTCCTTCTGGGTTTGTATGGAGGCTTCATTACTCGGCCATGACTGATTCAACCTCCAGGCCCTCCTGATTCCCCAGAGGTCAGGAGTGGACTGAGAAGTTCCAACCCTCTAATCACATGATTGGTTCTCCTGGCAACCAGCCCCTATCCTTAGCTGGGATCCAAAAGTCACCTCATTATACCTCTCTATAACAAGAGGAAATTCCAAGGGTCTGGGGACCTGTGAGTTAGGAACTGTGGGATAAAACCAAATGTACATGAGAAATACATTTTGGTCACCTGAATGACCAAATTTTTATTTCTTATAAATCACATTATCACATTAACATTGTAACATTTCCAGAACCACACATTTTACCATCCTAAGAGAATGAAAAAGTAGTATTTAACTTTCTATAACCTATAAAAGATATTGAATTTATAAAAAGTCAAATTCCTAATGAATGAGTACATAGTAACAGTAAGTATGCAAAACAAACTAGTTCAGTGACAAGCCAGCTGCAATCCCCAACATCACTCGGTAACAAACTGGTCTCTGACTGGATTACTTACGTAATAGATGGATCCACTTGTTTGTAAGCATGAGCAGCACAAGACCCACAGTAAGTATATCCTGCATGGCTACAAAACAAAATATTTTTAAACTTAAGCATCAAATTCAGAAATAGAGATATGCTGAAAAAAAACTTTTTGAAAGAAATATAATAACTATGGTAAATATAACAATTGAGCATATGGATTAAAAAGCAATGTACTAATAATGTAACTCCTAGACAATAATAATAACACAATTGTTCTATGTTCCAATTTTAAATTTTAAAGAATATTTTGCAATTTTTTGGTCTCAAGAGAAGTTTGATTTGGTGATATCCAAGGCTTAGTTGAAGTTGCTAATGGAACACTAATGATATATGAGTTTTTAACATCCCTCTTCAATACCATTAACAGACTATTACATAACAATGATAAGACTAAGAACACATCAAATGAAACCAAAACAAACATCCTACAACTAATAACTCTCTTCCCTCTGTGTGTTCAGCTGTAAGTGGATTTACTTGGCCTTCTGTATGTTATTTTCTCTCTTAACTACACATGCCTTCCTCTGGTCCCAGCAGTAAGAGTGGGTCTTTTATCACCTGTAAAATGACCATTTTGGAAATTTATTTTTGTTTCTTGACTCACTCAAGTTACACAAGGCTAGAAACATTTCCCTTAGTGCTTTCTTATTAATGTGTGGCCAGTGGTACACTGGTAACTTTTAACAACTGGCTCTGCAGAAAAGAAAATGTGTGTGTGTGTGTGCGCGCAAATAACCTTATAAATTTTACTTAATTACAAAACTATATACCACACAATTTACAAATAATGAAAAAATATCTAATACTCTTTCTTTATTGCAAATTCCACATAGCCAACTGACTGTCACAGAATGCTTTCACTGATTTTGGCTAAACTATTATTCATAGCCCAGGGATGGCTGCAACCCACAAGAGTGAAACAATGAAGACATTCAACAACTCGAATGACTTCTTTACTGATTAGATAATAGGTTTCAAATACTAGAAAGAATATTTCCTTCCTCATTTCATTTCGCTATTAAGTGTAAAGGCTACAGACACAACAATTTTAAGTTTAATTTGCATTATTCACCTTTTCGCATTACTTTCTTAAAATAGAAAATCAGTAAAAACTAAAGCCCTAATTTGTAGCACCTGGCCAATTAATGTGGACTAAATCATTTCCCAATCATGGCTAATTTCAAGATACCCAGTAACCTGAAAAGACAAAACAAAGTATTGGAGAAAATATTTATAAAGCATATCTGATAAAAGATTTACATCTGAATATATCAAAAATGTCAAAACAAACAACCCAATATGTAAAAATAGGAAACTGTTTTGGCGAGACAAAGAGTTCTGAAGACTGGTTGTAAAACAATGTGAATGTATTTATCACTGTACTTAACTGTTCGTGTAAATGGTTAAAAGTGGTTAATATGGTAAATTTTGTTGAGTGTACTTTACCACAATTAAAAAAATTTTAATAGGAAAGTATATGAACAGATACTTCATCAAAGAATACACTGAGGTGGCAAATTAAGCACATAAAAGAACGCTCACCTCAGACTTCCGGCCAAGATGGAGGTGTAGGTAGACACACTGTGCCTCCTCGCACAACCAAAAGGACAACAACAATTTAAAAACAAAAAACAACCGAAACTGACAGAAAACTGAACTCTATGGAAGTCTCACAACCAAGGAGTTAAAGAAGACACATTCATCCAAGACCGGTAGGAGCGGAGGTGTCGGGCAAGGCAGCGGCTGGCAGACCCAGCGAGGTGGCGGGTGGGCGCGCAAGGCTGTGGCTGGCCGGCAAGACAGCAGCGGGTGGAGCAGGAGTCAGATTGCAAACCAGGCGGTCCCACATTCATGTGCAGATAAACCAGGAGAAACCACTGGGAAGCTGGACGGACTGTGCAACCCAAAGCTCTAGGGCGGGTAAATAAAGCCTCAAAACACCAACTGGAAACACCTGTGTGGGGTTGGGCAGCAGGTGGAGAGACTCCCAGCCTCACAGGAGAGTTCGTTGGAGAGACCCACAGGGTCCTAGAATGTACACAAGCCCACCCACCAGGAAGGACACCAGGAGGGCCCAATTTGCTTCTGGGAATCGGGGAAAGTGACTAACATTTGGTAGAGAGCGGAGCAAGCACCACTGCTCCCTCTTGGGCCCCTTCCCTACATACAGTCACAAGCCAGCAACTGGGTTGCCCCGTTTAGGTGAACACCTAAGGCTCCACCCCTCATACGTAACAGGCACGTCAAGACAAAAAATAGCCCAAACGAAAGAACAAATCAAAGCTCCAGAAAAAATATAACTAAGCAATGAAGAGATAGCCAACCTATCAGATGCACAGTTCAAAACACTGGTGATCAGGATGCTCACAGAACTGGTTGAATTTGGTCATAAATTAGATCAAAAAAATGAAGGATACACTAAGTGAAAAAATGAAAATGCACAGGAAACCAACAGTGATGGCAAAGAAACTGGGACTCAACAGTGAGGAACAGAAGGAAGAAAGAAACATACAACGAGAAAAGAATAAAGAAATAAGAATTCAAAAAAATGAGGAGAGGCTTAGGAACCTCCAGGACATCTTTAAACATTCCAACATCTGAATTATAGGGGTACCAGAAAGGGAAGAGGAACAGCAACAAGTGGAAAACTTATTTGAACAAATAATAAAGGAGAATTTCCCCAATCTGGCAAAGGAAATAGACTTCCAGGAAGTCCAGGAAGCTCAGAGAGTCTCAGAGAAGTTGGACCCAAGGAGGAACACACCAAAGCACATCATAATTACATTACCCAAGATTAAAATGAAGCAGAGAATCCTAGAAGCAGCAAGACATAAGGGGACTGTCATCTACAAAGGAGTTCCCACAAGACTGTCAGCTGATTTCTCAAAAGAGACCTTACAGGCAAGAAGGGGCCGAAAAGAAGTATTCCAAGTCATGAAATCCAAAGACCTACATCCAAGATTGCTCTATCCAGCAAAACTTTCATTTAGAATGGAAGGGCAGATAAAGTGCTTCTCAGATAAGGTCAAGTTCAAGGAGTTCATCATCACCAAGACCTTATTTTATGAAATGTTAAAGGGACTTATCTAAGAAAAAGATGACATCAAAACTATGAACAGTAAAATGACAACAAACTCACAGTTATGTTAACAACCATGCCTAAAACAAAAACAAAAGCAAACTACTAGAACAGGAACAGAATAACAGAAATGGAGATGACATGGAAGGTTAGCAACAGGGGCAGTGGGAGGGGGAGAGAGGGGGAAAAAGGTACAGAGAATAAGTAGCATAGATGGTAGATAGAAAATAGAAAGGGGAGGCTAAGAATAGTATAGGAAATGTAGAAGCCAAAGAGCTTATATGTATAACCCAGGGACATGAACTACAGTGGGGGAATGTGGATGGGAGGGGCTATGGAGGGTGGAGGGGAGCGAAGAGGAGAAAATGGGGCAACTGTAATAGTATAATCAATAAAACATATTTTTTTAAAAAAAGAATGCTCACCACCATGTACTCATCAAGGAAAGGCAAATTAAAATTAAAATGAGAGCCCTGGCCAAAAAGGTCAGTTCGTTGGAACATCATCCAGATACTCCAAGGTTGCAGGTTCAATCCCCAGTCAGGGCACATACAAAAAATCAACCAATGAATGTATACATAAGTAGAACAACAAAAACTGATCTCTTTCTCTCTCTCCAATAAAAACTTTAATTTGAAAACTAGAATGAGGTACCACTAAATACTCACTAGAATAGCTAAAGTTAAAATGAGTGACCATATCAAGTATGGCAAGGATATAGAACAGAAACTCAATTTGTACTTGTAGAAATGGAAAACAGGGTGGCAATTGCTTAAACAATTAAACATACTCCTGCCCTGTGATCCAAGCCATTCTACTCCTTTAAAAAAAGCAATGCGTCCACCTCACAAAGATTTATACACATATCTCCATCCCTGTTTCATTTGCAATAGCCCAAAACTGGAAACAACTGAATGACCCTCAAAAGGTGAATGGATAAACTAGCTGCACTGTATCCATACAGAAGAATGCTCTTCAGCCCTGGCTGGTGTAGCTCAATGGATTGAGTGCGGGCCTGCAAACCACATGATCCCGGTTCTATTCCCAGTCAGGGCACATGCCTGGGTTGCAGGCTAGTTCCCAGCAGGGACCCACAAGCGGCAACCATACATTGATATTTCTCTCCTTCCCTTCCCCTCTAAAGATAGATAAATAAAATATTTTTTTAAAAAAGAACACTCTTTAGTAAGAGAAAGAAATGAACTCCTGACACACTCAAAATAATTGTGCTTACAAATGGCAAAACTCAATAAAGAAATATGCTAAGAGAAGCCAGACAAAAAAGTTCATACTATATGATGCCATGTAAATAACTCTAGAAAATAAAAACTAATCTATAGTAATAGAAAAATATCAGTGGATATAAAATGAGAATTATAACAGGGCACAAGAAAAATTGGGAATGGTATGTTCATTACCTTAACTGTGGTAACAGTTTCACAGGTGTATACATAGTTCAAACTTATCATTGTACATTTTACATATATGCACCTGTATGTTAATCATGGTGCCTGTATGCACAATGAAGCTCTATTTTTAAAGTGACCCTCATCTGAACTAGGTTAAGCTGTGAATGTAGAAAAAGATTCACATAAGTCAACCACAGCAATACAGGATAGCAATGTGCTTAATTGGGAATTCAGTTATATAGAACATTAAGCACGCTGAAATCACCAAGGGCTTTATTGGTCAGATTAATGGTAATCACTCTATCCAAGGGAGCCTATTAAGTTGCTTGATATAACAATACTTTCACAACACAGATCTAATCTTAGCCAGATGGAAATTTATGTTGTTCTGTGGCTCAGCAAATACAGTTTTGCTGTCATCCTGCACTGATCTTGACACTCTAGTTTAACCCCAGGACTTAAAGCCAGGCAGTAAAACTCCAGAACCCATTTTTAACCACCCATTCTTTACATATTTGAAGGAACAAAGGAAGGAGTCCATGGAGTAGGAGA